TCCTTCGCGCCAACAAGAAATTGTAAAAGTCGCGGCGCAGGGAGAGCAAGAAAGAGGGGGACAAGAAAGAGAGAACAAGAGAGAGAGAGAGAGAACAAGAGAGAGAGAGAGAGAGAACAAGAGAGAGAGAGAGAGAACAAGAGAGAGAGAGAGAGAACAAGAGAGAGAGAGAGAGAGAACAAGAGAGAGAGAGAGAACAAGAGAGAGAGAGAGAGAACAAGAGAAAGAGACAAAGAAAGAGAGAGAGGGAGAACAAGAGAAAGAGACAAAGAAAGAGAGAGAGGGAGAGGGAGAGACAAAGAAAGAGAGAGAGGGAGAGGGTGAGAGGGAGAGGGGAGACTTTTCTATAAGTACCATTTTTATGACCGGTAATGTCCGCGGCATTTAAGAATTATGGAAGAATTATGGGGCTTGCGTTACCGGCAGAACCGAACGGAAAAGTGCACAACCCCCTTGGCATTGAACCAACTCTGCGCGCAACTTCGTCTACGAGGAATGTGTCCTTATCAAGCATCGGCTCGTATCTCCGTCACCGGCCAGGCAAAAGGAAGAACTCGATGAGCGCGGATCATTATCTCGTCATCTCGACGCACGAGCTTCCTGAAAAACATCGGCGAGCAAATCGCGGACGATTCGACGACCGTCAAAATTCACCGACGCAAAGTGGATTAAGAAGCGCCCCAAAGCGGTAAAAAAACGTTCTCCGGCTGGGAACATACATCTGCGCCCAACTTTTTATGTTTTTTTTTAAGACGTTACACGCGTATGCGTGCTTGCGAACATTGAATGATTTGCAGGACCCATTCTTTGCCAACATTTATAAATAGTGTTAGAAAATTATAATTAATTTTGTATGTATTGTTGTATATCATGTATTTAATATTATCATATATTATTATATATTATATATTATATATTTAATATTATTATATATACTATTGTATATTTATATATTTAATATTATCATATATATTATTATATATTATATATTTAATATTATCATGTATTATTATATATTATATATTTAATATTATCATATATATTATTGTATATTAATATATTTAATATTATCATATATATTATTATATATTATATATTTAATATTATCATATATATTCTTATATATTATATATACCTAATATTATCATATATATTATTTTAAATATTATAAATTATTTTTTATTAATCAAACGAGCAAAAGAACCCGTTCTCAGATCCTAGAGCATAATATACCCAGTGATTCAATTGGAAAGTACACAATGAAAATATTAAATATCCAACGTCAAACCAAAAGATCAACAAGTCTTGAACAACGAGTCAGCAACAATAATGCACAGCAAGTTATTAAAAAACCCCCGAACAAATCAGCCACGATTTAACATAAACGTAGCGACGAATTAAAAACTAATATTCAGAGACTGGCGACTGCGCCAAATAAGGTCGCCTCGCGGCTCCGCCGAGCTAAATCCATCTTCCATTTTAGGCGTCCGCGAAAGGGATTCGAAGGGAGCAGCGATTACCCATGAACAATCCTCGGATGAGGCCCCGTGTCCCGGCGGATCGCTTGTTAATCGGTACACCCTGTAGGGTTGCGCGTCGGGTTAAGCGAGCCCGAACACTGTTCGTTCGAACGTGTAGGTGGACGAGCGGCACGGCGAGAGGGGTGGGGGACGCGGGGACGGTCCCCGTCGGAGGCCGCGGTGAGTCGTATTGGGGGACCGTTTCCCTGCAACGAAGCGAGTCGAGGAGTCGTGCACGCAAGCCGAGAAGACGCGGCGGAAGGAGACAGTGCTAGGTCGTGTCCAGAGGCGGCGTCGCTCGCATTGGGCCCGGTTGCTCGTGTTGGCGGTAGCGATGGGACCGACGGATGCTTATCTAGCGAGTTACGAAACTCCTGACTCGGCCGGGACCTTCGATTTTCCGTGATACCCACTCGAGACTGGAGACGCTCTGATAAGGGATTTTTTGATAAGGGCGAAGTTAAGGTCGTTGGACGCAATTTTTTGGCGCGGCCATGTGTCGTCCGCAGCCGAATAAAATGGCAAGACAATCGTATCACACTTAGGCTATGTACAGAGTGTTTCAAATGTTGCTCGAAATCCAGAAGTGAACAAATTTGTTAAGACTGAACTAAGTAGGAAACTAAAGGAAATAAAGGGCAAAAAGTAAATAAAAATTCATTGAACTAAATAGGAAATAAAGTTTTATAAGATTCTCGATGGAAATTGTAAGTCATGATAGATCCTCGATAGAAATTGAAAATTCTAAAATTCTGATTTATGTAGAATTTATATACAATCTATACAAAAGTGTGAAATTATAAATTGTTATAAATTAGCAGTAATATCTATCGAGATCTATTTGGCAATCGTAAATTAAACTGCATTTCTACGGAAATTAAACTAAACTGAAAATTGAGTTTACTTTTTTCCCCAACTCTGTTCTATGTGTACAGGGTGTCCTAAAAATTTGTCGTAATCTGGAAACAGAGGGTTCCTGAGATCATTTGAAGCAACTTTTTCCTTAGCGATAATGCGATCCGCGGCTTTATTCACGAGTTATTAGCGAAAAACAGTGGCCAATGGGGAGGCGAGAACTGGGCGGTAGTGGGCCTCATCCGCCGCCTTGCGTCAGTCGAGCTCGTCTCTCATTGGTCACTGTTTTTCGTTAATAACTCGTTAATGGTGCCGCGGATTGCATTTTCGCTAAGGAAAAAGTTACTTCAAATGACCTCAGGAATCCTTCATTTCCTGATTTTGAGTATCTTTTGGGACACCTTGTATAATTATACACACGGTTTTGGATAGTTTGCCTGAAGCAAAGACGAATCATCTACGTGACGTTACAGTGAACGCGATGTACAAGCTATGCTAGTACGATATATCGTCCAAACGTGTCGAACTATTCTAATATTTAAATATAAATTGAATAAATGCAATAAATAAATAAATATAAAATATAAATTCAATTAATCGAGTAGAAAACATTATATTTAGCCAACACCTTCAGATTAGGAGCAATGATATACTTATTGATGGAAAGATACTTTCTCGAATTTTGATTCTTTGTGCAGCTTGCAAAAAAATTGTCAATGACAACAACAATAAAATAGACATATCTGCAGCCACCATCGCAAAATTCCAAATGAGTTTACACAAACCGTTCACTCGACTGTGTGTTGGTCGCTGATTAAATATNGTTAATGGTGCCGCGGATTGCATTTTCGCTAAGGAAAAAGTTACTTCAAATGACCTCAGGAATCCTTCATTTCCTGATTTTGAGTATCTTTTGGGACACCTTGTATAATTATACACACGGTTTTGGATAGTTTGCCTGAAGCAAAGACGAATCATCTACGTGACGTTACAGTGAACGCGATGTACAAGCTATGCTAGTACGATATATCGTCCAAACGTGTCGAACTATTCTAATATTTAAATATAAATTGAATAAATGCAATAAATAAATAAATATAAAATATAAATTCAATTAATCGAGTAGAAAACATTATATTTAGCCAACACCTTCAGATTAGGAGCAATGATATACTTATTGATGGAAAGATACTTTCTCGAATTTTGATTCTTTGTGCAGCTTGCAAAAAAATTGTCAATGACAACAACAATAAAATAGACATATCTGCAGCCACCATCGCAAAATTCCAAATGAGTTTACACAAACCGTTCACTCGACTGTGTGTTGGTCGCTGATTAAATATAATTAATAAAAACTAAACAATATCAATAAAATAACAAATTAATTAATAATAACTAAAATTAATAAAAAACAAATTAAATTATACAGGGTGTCCATGAAAGATATGTATTATACAAACGACCACCAGGTGATCCCTCATCGGAAAACAATTTTAAAAAACATAGAATAACTTGTTCCCAATTTGGGATTTATTTCACGTGAAAATCGTGCTTGAAACTTCGCTCTGCACTTTGCACTCGCGTCGCCGGACGAACCGTATCTCACCTGCAAGCGCGCACACGCAAACACGAATTTTCAAACTCGATTTTATCGAGAACCATGCCCCGAACGAAAAACAAGTTATTCTACATTCTTTCGTGTTCCTTCTCAACGAGGAACCTCCCGCCAGTACATATCTTTCACGGACACCCTGTGCGTTACTCGTGCTTCACCATGGCAGCGCCAATCAGAATCGCGGTCGTTATTACCTCGAGTCTTATTAGAGGGTCTATACTTCGTCAATGAGCGTCTCGACGGGAAACACGAACCCAATAGTCCAGCTTGAGATCCACGAACTACGACAGACTCAAGTCGAATCTAACCGCCGATCGACCGGACAAAATAGACGCGACGAAATCGCGTGCACGAAGTTCTATCGTCGCGCTTTAAAAAAAGAAAAAACGTTCCCGGGGTTCCGAGCTTCGGCTTAAAAGCTACGGGACACGACAGACATCGGTCGCGATGCCACCATCGGCGCCTAAATCGATCGGCCATCGTCGAACAAGTTGTACGCTCGGAAAGTTAGCGACCGAGCGGCGCGGCTCCGATCAATTAGCAACTGCTGCAGTTCCCGTCCGTCTGGTCGGTGCGAACTTGACACGGTGACATTTCGAGCAGTCGAAAAAAGGGGGTGAACGAGCAACCGACACCGGCCGCGTGTTGTCTCCATCGCTGATCAATGGGCCTCTCTACCTGCCCGGTTTAACCTGCCATCCTCGCGCAGGGGCGCCCCTGCGAGGAGGCTAAAACCAGGCAGGTAGGGAATCGGCTGGACTGGCTGAGCAGCGAGCTGCGAGGGGAGAAAGAAAGGAAAGAGAAAGAGAAAGAAAGAGCGAGGGAGGGGGAGAGCGATAGAGAGAGAGAGAGAGAGGGGGGGAGTGGGAGAGTGAGCGAGAGAGGGAGAAGCAGATAAAAGGAGAAGGGGCCCGGTTCCACCGCCACCGGGGCTCGCCGTTCTCTGCTCTGCGTCTGGCGCGTCGCTCGGTCTCGCTCGCGCCGGGCCCCGGGGACTAAAATTCAGGACAGAGAACCGTCCGGTTAGTTCCAGGCTGACGGCAGGGAACGCGCGTTACCGGCGATCGCGAGTCGATCTCGGCAAGGTGTGGCGGCAGCGGTTCGTCCGAAAGAGAGAGGAGAAGATCGGGGCCCGTCGAAACGGGCGTTCGACGCGGCCGCTGGTGGGAGGCGCCGCGGGACGCGCGGGGCCAGGGCCCGCCGACAAAGGACAGAGCGAGAGGGAGGGAGAGAGGGCGATCGAGGCCTCGACCGAGCCGTGTTCCGTTTCTCCGTCTCTCTCTCTCTCTCCCACTACCCGGCACTCTCCGGCGCTCCCCGGCACTCTTCGGCGTCGGGCCCCTCTCGGTCGGTCTTTCTCCGTCCGAGCGGCCGGCCTCTCTCTCTCGCTCACTCTCCCTCGTCCGCGTTTCACTCGAGCTCTTCGCGGAGGATCTCCGCCGTAAAGTCAGTATCCCGTGATGGTTGGGTACGCGCGATACCACTCGTGCCGCGTCGTTGACAAGTGAACACGCTCCGCGGGCCCAGACGCTGCGCTTCGCACGCTGCCCAGACCTTCTTCCTCCACTCTGCGCTCGCGATCGTTTCGTTTGCGATTCTTCTGGCCGCGGCGCAGGACTTGGATCGGGCCACCGCGTACACGGAGCCGACGGGACCGCTGGGAACCATTGGGTGACACCGGGTCGCCGAGGGACGTCGGGTGCGTGGAAAAGTGCTCGGTGCTCGCGCAGCTGTCACGCCGCGAGCCAGCTCGCCTCTTCGTCGGTGGTGCCGCTGCTTTTCTGTGTACGTATCTCCTCTCTATATCGTCGTTCTCATCTATGCGCCCGCAAGCGAGCGCACGCGCGCGCGCGCGCGAGATCTATAGGACGTGGTGCGCGAGCTGCGTGCACCAGCTCCAGCCTCTCTCGGGCTCCTACAACTCGTTCCGAAGGCCCGCGTATCAGGCCCCGAAGACCCGTTGCCCGCGAGCCGCGGTCGTACCAGCTCCTCAATTTCTGCGGGAAAAATAGCCGCGCCAAGGATTAATCCCGCACACACGGGACACCATCCTGCTCCGGCAGACCGCGGCTTTCCGTGTTCACCTGTTCACCGGCTGACTCTTCGGCCATTGCTTCTCGCTCGGCCACCATGAACCCTTCAATGGCGGCGACCGGGTCCGACGTGACCCGCAACCACCGCCGATTCAGCGGGGCTACTACCTTCGGCGGTTTACTCTGTTTGCTTCGCTTTTTTTTTGCTTGTGTTAGCTCGCTCGGGAAGCCGGTTTTTCGGATATTCGAAGCGTTCTCGGATAAATCGTAGGAATTTCTGCCGAATTCGCGATAAGATTGCGCGCTGAAATCGATCATTTGGGTAGAGGGGATGCGATTGTTCGAGCCTCGCGGCTCGTTTTTGGAGATTGCGATCGTTAACAATTATAAAAACCAGCCGCGAGAGGAGCGATTATTCGAATCCCCTCTTCCCAAATTGTCCATTTTTGCGCGCAATCTGAACGCGAATTAGGGAGAAATTGTTGTATACGCAGTGGAGAATCGATTATCCGGACCTCTGATATCGGAATTCTTCATCATCTTGTCATGTTACGTGTGCATTGCGTGTGTACGTTCATATTTCCGTTCAGGATGATCCATATGCAACGCTGTCTGCTGCACAAATGAACGGAGATTTGATCTGTCACTTTAATTATGTATTCGTGATGTTATCCGAATAATTGTGTGTCTGTTAATCGGCCGGATAATCGGAGTTCTAAAGCAATTGGTTGTTCGGGAAGTTCGTTTCACGTTTCGTAGAGCTCGTTTCATCGAACTCGTATAAAAGTGCTGGAACGAACTTTCCGAATGACTCGATAGTTTCTGGATCTTGCAATCGATGGGGACAATTTTTATTTTAAATGAAGAACCGCGGATTATTTATAAGTGACATGTTATGTGCCACAAGAAGGAATTCGTTTTGATTCGTTGTTTCGAAGGAGCTGATTGGCAATACTCAAATTATAGGTTATTTATCACGAATTTGAACTAATTCTTCTATTATTATTAGACCGTAAATATTATGCATTCACGACATAAATGAAGTTTAGGACAACGGGAATATCAGACAAGTTTGAGAGCATCAATGAATTATTTTAGGTTCACCGAAATTATTTGTAACAGGAAGAAACTACTGTTCGACTTGTGCTCTTGCAAGCATAATTTTTATTTTACACTAAAATCCCCAGTCTGATTATTATAAAACTTTGAAACCACATTTTCAGTTCTTGAACAATGCTTGTCTAGCAGCATGTTCATTTTGATGTAAGAGAAGCATGATATAAGCACCCCTTTTTATGATATTTGAAAGAAATCATTGATGAAACTCTAAGAAATTAAACGTAGTAAATTAGATGCAAATTGTATATCTATCTCATCGCTATTGTTATTAACAAATTGCACGGTTTTCAAGGATTTTCGTACGAAATCTCGACTGAGGGGGTTAAATTGGATTCATTAGCTAGGTCAACGGCCAATCAACCATGTAAAGGGTGCGAGTAGGAATCGGTCAAACAATTAACGATAAGCTGTCTGTTCTCTTTTTCTAGGACAAAGCTAACCCTTTGAACTCGAACGGTGACTCTGAAGCACCATTAGAAATTACTGTACAACGTTGCAGAATCATTTTTACGTTATGAAATTTCTTTATATATAAAAGACTGTTGCACGAGTCAGAAAACTCAATTTTATATGCATAAAATACATATAACAAACATAAAAAGATATTATATAAAAAAGATATAAAATAGTGTAGGTTATCAAAACTACTTTGAATTTAGCCAAATAATGATAATAATAATAATAATAATAATAATAATAATAATAATAATAATATATTTATATTATCTCTACTCTCTACTCTAATTAGTAGTAAATAATAGGAGTACATAAATTAACATAGTGCTGCTAGCTATGTACAAGAAAATACTCAAATAATCCAAAATAAATTCTGTCGGAGGAAACGACACGTGCAATGAAAATTTAACCCTTTGAACTCGAGGCACTCGTGACTCTGAGGCACCGCTAAAATCGTTACACCACGTTCCAAAATAATTTTTGTATCATCAAAGCTTAGATATAAAAAACAATTGTCAAAAGTCTAACTGTTGTACGAGTCACCAAAACTCGATTTCATACGCATGAAATGCACTGTGTCGTATAAACCGGAAATACCATAAATCAGAAAAGTTAATTTAGATTTACAGTTAAAACGGCTTCGAGCGCAATGGGTTAATCTGTTACAATACCGATTAACATTGCAAACGACTCGACGTACTGTTGCCAGTAAATCGCGCGCTTCGCCCAAGAAAATTCAAAGCCGAACGAAACGAACAGGTTCGGCTTTTCTCTCGAATGTTTATCGGGTCGCGGATAACACCGAGCGGTTTCCGCAAAGCTCATTAGAATTCTCGCATTTCGCACGATCGTGTGCGCAACGGGCGCGCAACAATCGACAGCCTGCTAACGAGTATTGTAATCGTAGGTGAGAAAGAGCGGCGGAATGTCTGTCTCGGCAGTGCGGGATATAACGAGCAGGTGATTCGGTAGCTGTAAATGTTTTGAAATGGCTGGAACAGAGACGGGGATCAAGTTCAGCGGACAAGCGTGAACTCGAACCGCGCGAGTAACGCGTTCGCGCACCTTCGAACCGATTATGCCATCGATAATTGCGTCGATCAACCGTTGCTAATAATCGCTTCAGCGATTCCTTAGACTTTTACTCGTTGCTCTGTTCGCACCTTTAAGCATTCAACGCTGCGCGCGGTACCCTTTTACGCTTGTTTTTGGACCTGGATCGCTCTGTTCGATCGTTTCTGTTGTAAATGGACTGCAAATTTTACGCGTTCGTGGCAAAATCGTGTGGATACGATTTACGATCTAAAATCGATACGATTAAAATGGATACGATTTAAAATAGATCAGAGGAATTTTTATATGTCTAAATATCTTTGTATTTTGGAATGGGAAAATGAACTTGCTGGTTAAGAGAATGAACTTGCCATTTAGAAGAATCATTTTGCTGTTTAGAAGAATGAACGCTATTTTGTTTATTGTTGACACAATTTTTATTTTGCATAAGAATCTACGATCTAGTAACATTTCTTCTGTTTCCTTTCTTTTGCATTTTCTCCGATTAGTATTATTAGTATTATTAGTACTGGTCTCTGATTTTATTTATTTATTCGTGTCTTTCTGACACAAACGAGTGGATCAATCTCGAAACAGTAAAAGCATTCGGAGAATTTTGAAACAATATTGTTCGCAGCTCGTTCAATTTATTAAAAAAATAAACGAACGTTTCTGCACCTCCTGCGTCTTGCAATAAATGGCAGTCGATTATCATTCTGAATTCGCGTGAAAAACCGCAGCCTAGTTACTGTATTTGCGTATTTCATGGCAAAGGGTTATTTAAACGAATAAAATTATCGTCATTATCGTGCTTTCGACTGCATCAAGACCCAGACCGTCTTCTTGTGACAGAGAAAAGCGCGGCATTGTTCGGTCGCGCGCGAGCATTTTCGACGAAAAATCCATTTTTTCGCCGGCAAGCTTCTCGCGCGTCGGCGTTGCTTTTCTTCGCGTCGGCGAAAGGGTTGCATACCTCTATCCGAGGCATCGATAGAAGTGATAAACGAGCGGCGAGCGATGAAACTCGAAGTTAATTGCCTCGGCGAGCGCGCGCGCGCGCGCGCCGGTGATGAAAGCGGCAGATTTGAAAGTTGTAACGTTCAGGTCGCGAAGGATGTAATTGTTGCGTTCGATCGAACCGCGCTCGGGTAATTGTGTTTTCGTAATGTCCCGACGCTTGTTTTCCTGGCGGCCGGCCGTAGGAAGCGAGCGACACGAACGGCGGAATTGTTAAATCGTTGCTCGACCGTTAACGAATGGAGGAGATCGAGCGCCGCGTTCGGTTGATCCATGAAAAAAAAAAGAAAATGGAAAAAAATAAGAAGCATAACTCTCGCCGGCGAGCGGTGGTGTGTCGTGTCTGTCGGTAAAGCGAGCCTATTGCATATTTACGGGCACACGCGAGCATATAAGATTTCGAAACACGTGTAATGCATAAATAAAGGGAGCGAAGCCGGCCGCGATGCACCTCGAGAAGACGCCGTATAATGCTCGGATTTATGGCCACTTCCGACAGAGACTCGAGATTCTAATTATTATTATTTTTATTATTAAATATTATACATATATCATATACATTATATTATCATTATTAGTATTATTATTATTTATTGGTAAACTGGCTAGAAGTCCTCTTTAGTAGTATAGTAGTTTAATAGGTTAAACA